GGCGTTTATTTGTTCGCTGATAAAGAACGGGCATAATTCCTTATAGGTTAGTCCGTTATTTACGCAAAAATTACAATGATTATTTACTTTATTCATATCGTTATTTGTCGTCATTATTAAACTCCTTCCAAGGTTTTTTATTGGTGTTCTTGGCTTCACCATATTTACTCCGTCATTTCCCGTTTTCTTGGATCCATTCGTCAAACTGGGAAAAACTAAAAATTAAGGTCTGATCCCCTTTCTCTAAATCTTTAAAATATTGGCGGTAGTAGGTTATATATTCCCCAACTCCATTATAATCTTTGATTATTCGCTTATAAAATACCTCTAAATTGTGGGGGTTATACTTGTCGGGGTTAAAAGATATTCAGTGGCGTTTTTCCTCGCCAATTTGGTATCACTTCCCGCCCTTGTTAGTGGTTCCACTGACGGTTAACATTTGCGAACGACCATTAATCATCATTTCGCAAGTCTTATTTCCCCCATCGTAGATCCATTGTATATCCTCGATCGGTATTTTTCTGTTAGTATTCATAATTGGTAATAATTAGGTCTTGTCGGTGGTTTTTTCGTTCGTTGCCATTGGAATTAATAACCGCATTAACCGTTATCACTCTTATACGGTAATTACGGTATAAACGCCTTATTGTGTCAGTGTTGTTATTAGTCTGTAATCACTTAACCCCTCCTTGGGTTAATTCATCGCAATATTCTTTTAGTCGTAATTGGGAAAACTGGCGGGCGGTATAGTCGTTGTAAGTTCCATCATACGGGGGATCTAAATAAACAAAATCACCTTTTTGGGGTTTAATTTGGGCGAAGTCTTGGCAAATAATCGTAATTTGGTTAGTCCGTAAATATTTGCTTATTTCAGTTATATTTTGTTTGGTAAATAACGCAATCTTTTCTTTATGTCTGTAAGGAACATTGATAAGACTTTTGCCATTTTCTCTATATAACCCATTAAATCCCGCTTTGTTAAGATATAGGAACATTCCCGCATTGTTTACCTTCGGTGGATCATTATTTCCCGTTAATTTTACTTGGTTTAACTGGTCTCTAATCTTATAATAATACGCCTCGCAGTGATTCCGTTTATGTCTTTCTAATTGTCCTATAAGTGTTTTCGGGTAGTCTCTAACACATTTCCATAAGTTCACTAATTCGGGGTTTATATCACTAATTACCGCCTTCATCGGTTTGGTTCACAAGAATAACGAACCGCCCCCGATCATTGGTTCTCAATAACTATTACTATAACTTTGAAAATACGGCACTATTTCTTTAATACTTTGTCCTTTTCCGCCTACTCAACGAATAAACGGGGTTAATCTTTTACTTTCGCTCATCATACCTTACCTTTAATTGCCCGTTCGTTTTTAAGGAAGTTAGAGTTTTTTTGTCAACTAATATTAACTTATACTGATATTCGCCTTCGGTAATTTGGATCCTTCGCCTTTTCATCACTTCCTCTAATATTTCCTTTTCAGTTGCCTTTTGTAGTTCTACCATGATTACTTTTGTTCCTCTCAATTTACTAAATTGAGATATTGTTTGTATTTCTTGTAGTAAAAAATATATTTCTTACCGTAAAACTTCCCCGCTACAATGTCATTTCAAACTTTCTCATTTTCTAACTTACTTTTAAAAACACTAACACTTTTAACCTCGGCGGGGCGTTGATTAGTTAACTGTAAATGATAACATACTTGATCCTTGGGTTTATATTCTCCGCCTTTGTCGTATATTCGCTTTTCAATGGCCTTTTCTACTTCTCCCCAAACATTATAAAGTTTGGGTTCATATTTTTTACGGTTATTGGTTCCGTTCGTGTCTTTTATATTTTCGTTCATACTTTCCTTTCGCATTTCTCGCATTTGTCTTTAAAAATCCTAATTGTTTCTTTATCTTTCTTACATTCAACGCATAATTTATTAAAAAGGTAAAAAACTAAACAAAAACTTAATAAAAAGTTCAGTATCGTAAAAATTAAAATTGCCAAAATAATCCCCTCCATGTTATTTATTTCCTTTCAGTTTGTTATAACTACAATCGGCACAATCTACACCATCCTTTATGTAATCCTCAAAACTAACGCCTAAATTATTAAAATTGTGTTCGTTTTCCCTTGTTTCGTGTTGATAACATAGTCCGTTTTTATTCGCTAAAATATACGCCTTATTGCGTCAATAATTAATAATCGTATCCTTTTCCGCTAATGCCTCACTTAAAATCTTGATTGAACCATTGGCAAAATCGTTAAAAGTCTCGTCAATTATTTTATTTCGTTCAGTTTTATTACTCTTTTCCATATCTATATTGGGTATATAAATAGGGTAATTAGAGTAAAGAAGTTATGTTATTTTTGAAAAAGGCTATAAATTATTTGTCTTAGAAGCCAACCTTTACCAATTATCTATCCCTCATACTGAAATCAGACTAATTGGAGATCTAAAAAGAAATTATTTCCACACCAAAGAAAAAACCTATAATGAATTATTCTCCATTCTCTTCATTGACTTCGACCATTCTTTACATAAAAATATTAAGAAAACAAGAACCAAAGAGCAAGAATTAATCTGCATCATGGAAGAAAAAGATTGTGTTTATCATTAAAATATATACTATGGATAACAAAATCCGTCAACTTTTTCCTCTCTTCACCCACCAAAAAAAACTGGTTTATTTAGACAG